TCCTCAACATTCTTGTACTTTCTAGTATGCTATGAGTAATCAGTATATACTTGCCGTATGCTGTGTGAAGTTCACTCGTAAGTGCGGATGTAGCAGGGAGGAGTAAGTGGGTCCCCCTTCAGCCACATCTCGTCTGCTCCAAATGGGTAATGTAGCTCCAGAGTTACTTGTTTGCTCCACACTGTAACTACAGATTGGCATGTCCACAGATGAGTCCTGTCCACAACCTTTCACCTTCAAAGTTAATGTTAATGGAAATGTTTACTTGAGAAGCTGGATATCTGATCACCCCCTTCTCATATTAAACCCTGTGCCTCACAGTTGGCTGGAGGTCAGCTCCGTCACTAGGCTTTCTGTCTCCTAACATGCAGATGACTTTGTTCAGCAAGTCATCCTACTTCATGACAATTACATGCAGTTAATTGTCCACTGGTGGCATTTTCCAGAGCAACTCTGCTCTTTCTGCAGCTGGGGTCCCTGAGGTATGTCCACTGCCTCCTGAGGGGCAGAATGTGGCCATCTTAATGCAGTTTGCTTTGCGTCAGTGTTTGCTACTTGTCATACATCCACAAGTCACTTCCTGCTCAGAAGAATTGCTGGCAAAGATATGAATATGGACTTAAACACAATCAAAACTAACAAACCACAGTAGCAAAAACCACGAAATTTGATTTCACCAATAAATGCAAGTGGAAGTGACTTTCCCACCACTACTCCACTCCCTAACATTTTCACCAGCAGGTGAGGGCCGCGGAATAAAATTTCTGCCCAAGCACTTAAGTGTTTATTATCAGGGCAAATTTTGTCATTGTTTTGTTCTTAATTCACTTAGGAAATCCAGATGATAACATGTGGCAAAGATCCAATGACTATTCATTCACAATAGTGTACTCTTCTTAATCTACAGTGTACAGTAGGATTTGGTGATATAATTTTGTAATTTCTTGCTTTGTGTGGTTATACTTAACTCTTTATTTTTACATCATGCTTTACCTCAGTGGCAAGCAAGTTTTCGTAGACCAATTAGGCCTTGTGCCAATTAAAGTCAACTGGAACCAGACCTTAAATCCCCTGGAGCTGTAAAGGTTTATTGTCACAAATACAGAAACAAGAAATGGAAAGAACCACTATCCTCTTATTTTATTAAATGTTACTTTCATGTGCAGTTATGAAGTGTTTTGCTTTAGAATGTTGCATCAATGGAGTTTTAAAATTAAACTAACAGTTTAACTAACATTCTTGCGATGTGTGCTTTCCCACCTGGAGAGACAACCATGACTATAAAGATGGTTTTTATCTTGATATTTTTCATCTGAATCTGCATTTAAACCATATGATTCGTGTCACATTAAAGGTGAGAAGCCATAGTCTAGATAATTGGAAGCCACAGCTTTGTAGTTAGATTATTTTAATTTGTGAGATTTCAGTTCTTTCTGTTCAGGTGGCATATTTTTATCCTTGAGAATAATCCATTGATTTTTAACCCAGTCTCATAGACTGTTAGAATTGTCCACATTGTTTTAGCCTTTCAAGGTATCATTTTGTGGATATTTTTATTTATTATTAATGCCTTTTTGTAATGTCTACATGTATCCTAGGATATTGGTTAATAACTTTTAAGACCAGAGTTTTCTAAATTTTTTTTTCTAATTTTGGAAATTTCTAAGGATTTAGCATTTACAAAATCTCAGGATTTCAGTTTTTTTTTCTAGTTTTAAAAACCTATTTCATGGTATTCCCCTCTCTTCTGTGAATCTGATCTTATAATTAGCAAATGACCATTTGGGATAGGTGTGTTTAAAAGTTGTAGAAAGTACAAGAAGATTAAACTTTTCATCTGTAATCATTGCTAATGTGCAAATATAACTGATTTTTTTCTTTTTAAGTTCTCAAACTTCTGAGTCCAATCGGAAGTTGATTCTAGGGGAGTTTTGTTGTTGTTTCATTGACCGTTTTCACATACATCTTCAAACTTGGCACGTAGCTTGGTTTAGGAACATGCCATCATTCCTGGGAATTAGAATGAATAATCCTGCTTTTGCTTTACTCATTTATTTTTTGTGTGTCTTTTGGATTATGTGTTTTATTGTTCCAAACCTCAGTTTTTCCATCTTTATTATGGGGATAATATATTTGAAAAATGTTTTTATGACATCATAATTGGCATTGAAACCTGAATGCCTCATTTATATCGATATGAATATGTGAGCCTTTTCAGGAAACTTTGGAGTCATTCTTGCTTTGGATTTTAGCTTATTGCTACATGTCAAAATAAATTTTGCTCAATTTATTTTAAGAATCTATTTTGAAAAACCAGTGTTGGAGTATGAGAAATTAGTGATGTGGTTACCTTTGGATAGATACGATCCTTTCTTTATCATGTGCTAGTTTTGATTTGCCCAGTGTCTTGTGATCTGGAACAGTGATTCCTAACCCTTGCTGCCCTGTAGAATTACCTTGAGAGCCTAAAATAAGAACCAAAGTAGGACCTACACCTGCCCCAGGAACAATTAGATCAGAACTCTCTAGAGATGGTTCCTGACGCACTGCCATTTTAAAGAGCCTTCCACTAATGTGTATTCAGAGTTAAAGACCACTGATAGAGATACTTAATGTAGAGTGCAACTTATCATTAATGAAAGCCTGATATTGCACATTAGCAGTGAAGGACAGAAAAGTGATATAAAATCTCTGGGGAATGTGTGTTGGAATCTTCAAGTGATCAGCAATCAATATGAGAAGACTGTTCCCGTAAGAAATAATCTGAAAAGAGCAAAGTATCGTGTTCCTACTTTAGTAGCCTCTCCCAGGGATGGGTCTCTCTCTCTCTCTTATCCCTCTGCTGTTGAGATCTACAATCTCATCCTCAACTTTATTGCCAAAAACATGCTCTGAAAAGTTTTTTTTTTTTTAGCTCCTTTTTCCAGAAAACCTTACCTGAGGTGATGCAGATCAACTTTACAACATCACTGGGAGGCTAAATAAGAACTTACATAGTTAAGTGCCAATGTATCAGGGACCTAATCAACACTTAAGAAAAATTAACTATTTTATTATCTAATGATAAATGAAATCTGGGTCCTCCTTCTTCCCCTTGGCAGTCAGCAAACATTTATTGGATGCCCACTGTGTCACTGACACTGTGATGAGTGCCAGAAAAGCAACCATAAATTAGCGAGACACAATCCACATCCTTCATGAGCTTTCTGTGACTCCCTCATTGGAGACATCTTAAGCTAAGACCTAATTGCATGATGCCCTTAGACAGATAAACACACATGCACAATGATAGGATTATTGCCCCATTGGTGAAGAACTCCTCTATAATTTATTCCTAAAAGGGAACTCTCTTCCGACTGCCTCATTAATTCCATCCTTATTTTTTAATTCCTCGCCCTGCCCACAAATATTATTTATGGCATGAAATGTTTTGGGGAAACTATCAGTACTGTAGAAGGATTTAGTTGTCGTCGGATACGTACTTTCCTCTACTCTCTGCTTTCCCTGGGCTTCTCCTTGTTCTATGCTGTGTTATGATACCTCCTCAGTAGACCAGCTCATTCCCTCTCAAATTTCTAATCTAGCCTACCTCTGGCTACTGAAGAAATCTGTTATCACTAAATAGCACTGGAAAGGATATTTTTGGTGGCTTTCTCAGGGAGAGAAATGCGGGTGAGCCGAGGTTGATTTATATCTATTGTCAAGCTCTGGTTAGAGAAAAGCAGTCAGGTTGTATAGGTTGGGGAACATTGTTCTGTGAAACCCCAACAGTCTGCTTATCCTTATCTTCCCAGAACCTTGTAGATAAGGTTTTCACCCTGTTAGTCTGAAAGTGCCCTCCCTGGATCCTAAGCCCTAGTGTTGCCGGGCAATCCAGTCTGGGGAGATCTCCCTGCACACTAGGGGAGACCTCAACCTAGGAAAGGTTTCTTGACTCAGACTGGGAAAGAATTCATGAGCAGGTGGAGCAGGTATAAGCAAAGCATAGTTTAGTAAGTCAAAGGTACACACTCAGGAAAGAGTGCGGGCATGCTCCAGAAGTGAGCACCACAGCGGGGTTTCAGGTTGGGTGGTCTTATAGCTGGAGTTTAAGTAGGGGGTGGAATATTCATTGGGATAGGTGGGGTTTTCTCCGAATAGACAGTGGGGGGGGGGTGTCCAGGAAATAGGGTGACACCCACTTTTTGTCCTTAGATGGTCTGCCTCCAAACAGCCATGGCACCACGGGGTATGATATACAATGTAATGACATACAATGGACTTTGAGGTGAGGTCAGGGACAACGTCCCCTCCAAGTTGGAACATGTTGGTTTGGGCAGGTCTATTCCCCTCCCTGCCCACATCCCTAGAGAACCGTTTACAGGGATGTTTAGAATATCAACAAGCACCTAACAGAGTGTAAACACCAACCAGAGTCCCCCACCCACTCCCCGCTCATGTCTGGCTATCTACCTACTATAACACCAGGGTCTTGGGGGCATGACCACAGCTAGTCTATTGTATTCTCTGCCAAGGTTCATTTCTGGTTTTGCACTAAAGCCCATGGGACCTGGTGTAGTAAAGTTTACTTGTAAAGCTTAACTAACTGTCAAATAATAAGCATCTCTCAAGGGTAAGATGCCTATTGTAAAATACCTGTCAGTATACCTTTGACTTCTTATGGATTTCCCTGTATTTATAATTAGTTTAATGGAGTCCTTAGCTCCCTTAGTTATTGAGTTAATTAACCTTTTTATAAATTTAAAATGTATTTATAAAAATAAGTTTATGCATATGATATTAACCGAGTTAATATTCAAGGCCCAAATTGTCTGTAGTTAATTGTAACAATTACGTTCTACCAAAAGTATAATTTTCTTGTGGGCAAGATATCTTTGTATCCTTGTTAACCATAAAAGAATGTTGTTTGTAGCTTATGTTCGGATGTCAGATAAATCTGAACTGAACCATGCCTATAGAGTTGAATAGCTACTAATGCCATCTATCATTTCTGTTCATAGGTATTACCACTTAATGAAACCTTGCCACCAAGTCTATGATAAAAAACATAAGTAACAGAGGAAACGATAACTGTTGTTTGTCAAGTAACAAGATTTTAATGTCAGAATGGCTCACTTAAAGCGACTAGTAAAACTACATCTTAAAAGATATTACCATAAAAAGTTCTGGAAGCTTGGTGCAGTAATTTTTTTCTTTATCATATTTTTGATTTTAATGCAAAGAGAAGTAAGTGTTCAATATTCCAAGGAGGAATTGAGGATGGAAAGAAACATGAAAAACAAAAACAAGGTGTTTGATTTAATGCTAGAAGCTGTCAACAATATTAAAGATGCAATGCCAAAAATGCAAATAGGAGCACCTGTTAGGCAAAACATTGATGCTGGTGAGAGACCCTGTTTGCAAGGATATTATACGGCAGCAGAATTGAAACCCGTTCTTGATCGCCCACCTCAGGATGCTAATGCACCCGGTGCTTCTGGTAAAGCATTCAAGACAACCAATTTAAGTGTTGAAGAGCAGAAGGAAAAAGAACGTGGAGAAGCAAAACACTGTTTTAATGCTTTTGCAAGTGACAGAATCTCTTTGCACCGAGATCTTGGACCAGACACTCGACCTCCTGAGTATGTTGAAGAATATTCATTGTTTACTGTCTCATCACCAGGGATTGCAGGGGAGGGGCATGGGCTTAAGGAAGTTGCTGGTTCTTTAGCCACTCTGAGGCTAAAAAATCAGCAAATACTGTTTAATCTATTTTAATTATTATTTTGCTTATTATTATTGAGGCTAGATACCTGTATTTATGCTTTGTAAGGCATTGCAGGTGTGAAAAGTTATCTTAGAAATCCAAAAATAAATTCTACATCTTACCTATAGAACCACAAGGAAATCCTTTATTCTTAAATGCTTTTGTTGTCTCACCTATTTACGAGGAACTATGGGGCAATTTTTATGGGAAACGTGGGAGGCGGAAGAGTTTTCTTTCCCTCGGCGTATTGCTATAGAACAGCAATGTCCAAAGATGTGTCAAGATTTTAGAGCTTTTAGACAACATTTTATCAACTAACTTGCACACTTTGTGACTGTTTGCAGTGCTGCCATTGTATTTCAGAATGCCCTGTGTTTTTTAACCTTTCTTTTAGGGAACAATATTGTTATGATTACTAATTCAATGACTAATTTTGACTCTTACTCTCGAGTTCTGTTGAATAAGTTCTCGTATATACATATAGAGTTGTGGGGCCTTTAGCTTCTGAGAGGCCAACATCGCTTTGTCACTTTTACATGTTTATCTCAAATACATAGTATTTTGAGTAAGGGTTACCTCCATATTTTACTATGGCATCTCCTTGTCCTTAATTAACCATTTTGTTATCTTTGACGGGTAGTGTTCAAATGTTCTATTTGACTGAAATAGCTAAAATGCATTCCAGTGCATTCAAACCATCTGTAGCTTTGTTGAAAGTGCAAGATAGATAAACTGTAAACAAGCAGTGCCTCTGTATTTTGCTTTCTGGGTGTGAAGAGTTACATTTGGAAGTAACTCTGAAGAAAGGACTTTTGTAGACATAGATCAATCACTTCATTCATATTTTTCTAGATTTATGGTTATGAGTAAATCTTCATAATCTGCTTCAACTATGAATCCGTGACTATTGACGTTTATAGATTAGATTTCTGTCGCTCTGTTCTAATCTGTGTGATTCAAGTTTAAGTTGCTCTCCTTTGTATTTATTTATTTTTGAAGTAGATACAATATTATATTATTTTCAGATACAATATTATATATGATGTGACAACAATCTACATTATTAAATGCTCACCCCAAGTACAGTTACTGTCAACATAAAATGAGGTTAAAGAACTGTTGAGTATATTCTCTGTGCTCTACTTGGATTCTGTGACTGATTTACATGTGATTGAGATTTTGTGCCTCTTTATCCCCTTTATCTGTTGCACCCACCTGCCCCAGCCCATTTTTAAATGAACATGTGAAGAAACACACAAATGTCTATACAATATTTTGGCTGTTGTAAGAGCACAACTAGGTGAAAGTGCAGTATTGAACTTGATTGATTTTCAGAGAGGTCTTGACTGAAAAGCAATCCACATCACAAATCAAGAAACATGATTTTTATTCTATGAGGTGACAATCAATGTCAGCTCAAGATAAGCTTTTCTTCCCAATATAGCATTGAGAAGCTGCAATAATATTCAGTCATGTTAATCACTGAGTAAGTGAAAAACAACTGAGCACACGAAGCACCTTTTGTGGATAGGAATGGATGACTAGAACTGGGAAGAGCTGGTGGAAGTTTAATACTTTCTTACTTTAAATTTAACCTGTGTCAGCAAGAAGCACATTTTCTGAAGAACTGCGGATCTTTTCCTTACTCATAGGAAATATAGATGCAGTTCCTCCAAAAGCCAGGTGGTCATGTGACTGATTTAACACATTTTTGTGTGCCAAATTTTTCAAATTGTTTGATTGGGTATATACAGTCACTTTGTCAGGTTATCTCATTTTTCTTATTATTCTTTATTGAATTATAATTTATATACAATATTGTACTGATTTCAGTGTATAAGATTCTGATTCAGTATTTTTATACACTGCAAAATGATCATCATAACAGGTCTGGTGACCGTCTGTCACCATTCAAAGTTATTAAAATACTGAAAGTATTCCCTATGCTGTACATTACATTCCTGTGAGTTACTTATTTTATAATTGGAAGTTTGTACCTCTGAAATCTCCTTCACATATTTTGACTGTCCCTCCCAAATACCTTTCCTTTTGATAACCACCAGTTTGTTGTCTGTATCTATGAGTATGTTTTTGCTTTTTTAGATTCTACATATAAGTGAAATCCTATGTTATTTGTCTTTCTTGCCTGACTTTTTTCATTCAGCATATTACTCAGGTCCAGCCATGTTGACACAAAGGCAAGATTTCATTCTTATTTATGACTAATATTCCTATATATATATATATATATATGTACCACATCTTCTTTATCCGTTAATCTGTAAGTGGAAACTTAGGTTACTTCCATAACTTGGAAATTATTATGTGTATTGTACATTATGTTTTATTTTATATGTATCATGTAATATATACAATATTGTATATTATGTATATGTATATTGTAAATAATGCTGCAGAGAACATAGGGGTACATATATCTTTTCAAATTAGTGTTTTTTGTTTTCTTCACATAAATACCCAGAAGTGGAATTGCAGGATTGTGCGATATTTCTATTTTTAGTTTTTTTCAGGAACCTCAATACCACTTTCCACAGTGGCTGTGTCAGTTTACATTCCCCCCAAGAGTGCATGAGGGTTTCCTTTCCTCCGTGTCTTTGCCAGCACTTGTTATTTCCTGTCTTTTTGGTCCTAGCCATTTTGACAGGTGTGACGTGACATCTCACTGTGGTTTTGATTTTTTATTTCCCTGATTATTGATGTTGAGCATCTTTTCATGAACCTGTTGGCCATTTATATTTCTTCTTTAGAGAAATATCCCCTCAGGTCCTCTTGAGAAAGTTATTTTAATTTCACTACTTTAAATGAAACAGTTTTTAAAGTATAAGTTTAACATGCTAATTGTTTCCAAGTAAATGAAATTTCTGAAATCATATTGTGAAATTTTATTATCATTTGCATTAATAATATAACATAACACTTTTACCTGATACTTATCAGTTAAGCAAATAAATCCCAGCTGAAACTGAGGGAAAAAGCCTTGCAAGATTAAAGTGATAACATTTTTATAAGTTTGAATTTTTGTGAAGTTTCATACTTTAAATATTCAAAACTTTTTTATTTTTAATTAATATGAAAAATTTTTTTAAATCCCTAAACTGCCTCCCTAAAATGCTTAAAGACAACACATCATGAAGTTTCTTTTTTTCTTAAAAAGAAAATACTGTAGTGTGGAGTTTATAATAATTTTTACTTATAGTTTATGTTGGTTTATAAACCTTAATGTCTTAAAAATACAAGCTGCTGTTTAGTCATTTATTTATGTCTTAATACTGATTCAAGAGTATGTCTGAATAGGAAGTTTGAGTTTGGCCCTTATTTTTAATTAGTAGTTTACCCAAAATTCAATTTAGAATAAACCATTTGCTTTCATCTCCCCATTGAGGATGGATGTGATTACTACTTTTGCCCATGCATGTCTATTCCACCGAAGTCATGAAGGCTCCGGAGAGCAGGATCACTGCACTCAGAACCTTCCTGTCCTTTTCTTACTCAGCGGTCTTGACGCCCTCTCTTCATACCTTATCCCTAGTCTAATTACTTTTGTATCACTACAAATATTCTGCCCTAAAGACCTCTTCTCAAAACAGGATTCATACTGAAGTATGGCTATAAAAGTAATTAATGACATTTTGTAGAATATCTCTTACAGGCTGGCTTTCCCTGGCCTCTGGTACCACGCTGTGGGCTCTGGTTTCCCCACTGGCCCTGGCAGAGCAATTGAAGTGTATTGGCCTCTTATCTCTATAAGTCAATGATTTACTTCCTTATCTTTGGGTTTGAACAGCACTGTTCTGTTGCTCACAAACTATATTTATAGTGCTTTTGTGTGTGTGTGTGAGGATTTTGTAGCCTGTTGTCTAAAAATTGTACAACCATTTATGATTTCTAAGTGCATTTAAGCACATAGTTATTTTATTTGTTTATCTCTACCATAGACCACATGCATTTTGTGCCACTCACTCTGTTTGGTGTTACTTTTGAAGCCCTGTTTTTTATGTTATTTCATTTGATCCTCACCTCAACTCAGTACGCAAGGGATTGTGGTCAACTCGTCTCAAAGGCTGAAGGTTATACAGATTCACCAACACCCAACAGCTTCATTTGAAGATTATTTTCATTGAGGAAGACATTGTTATGAAAATTAAATCAAGACCAATTCACAACTGTTTTTAGTTCATGGGTAGCACTGTAAATCAGTCAAACACTACTTAGGGCCACCTGCATTGTGCCTATCAATGTTTTTTATAGCAACAGGAGTATAGGACTTTAAACATGGACTTGGACTTTTAAATTTCTAAATGTATTTTTTTTAAAGGAAATTTTAAAGTGATAGGTCTTACTTAATTAAACAATAGGTTGGATTAGTGGAGCAAAATCTTTAACTCAGCATGGCATATGGTAAAAGCTTAAGTTTTGCTGAACAATGAAAGTCATAAGAAAATAGGTTTTTTAGTAAGCTATTTTTCCCTTTTGGTTCCAGTTCTATTAGGTAAGTTGATTAAATGAAGTTGGAAAATTTTACATATTTAGGAAGAATGTAAGAAAATCAAAGGTGAATAATAAAGTTTTACCATTTAAAAAATTACAAATAATAAGAAAACTGGATGATTTCTACAAGGAGGGAGAAAAACTTGGTTTGAGTTTGAGCAATTACAAGTATTTGCCATTTTTAAAGGTTGTATTTTAAAGATTATTTTCCTTATTTGAAATGTTATTTGTATTTAAAATTGTATTGTTGAGAAAGCTTGCAATAGCAAGTTTTAATCCTTGACATATAATCCGTATCAGTAGACATGATATTTGGACGAGTGGATTGTTTGTAAAAAATTATGTTTTATTTTAGTCTCTTTACAGTTGCATAGTGTGAGGTCATCTTACATGGAAAGAAACTGTGCACCATCGTTTCTGTGGTGATAAAGGTTAAATAATGATTACTCTAGTAATGGTACAGCTGTGAAGTAAGGTAATAAAATTAATAACTCTTCTACCTCTTTGACTTCTAGATGTATTGAACAAAAATTTAAGCGATGTCCTCCCTTGCCCACCACCAGTGTCATAATAGTCTTTCATAATGAAGCATGGTCCACGCTGCTTAGAACTGTCCACAGTGTGCTTTATTCTTCACCTGCCATTCTGCTGAAAGAAATCATTTTGGTGGACGATGCTAGTGTAGATGGTAAGAAAGCACATGTGCATCAGATTGTTTCCCGAGTAAATCAATGCGGTGCTGTCCTAAGCCTGTTTGGTTATGTTGTGCTCTCTGTGTGCCGTCTCAGAGCTCGAATATACTAGCTTGGATGGTACTTTGGATGAAGGTAGAATCCAAGGGTGTCCGTATTAAACCCCCTAGAGTTCAGAAATGTAAGAAGCACCCTTCTTCGTAACTCTGTCATCCTCAGTGTAAGAGCTTCATCGTAGGCCTAATGATGAAGAGCCCAGACCTGAGCCTTGAGTCAGGCTGCCTTGGTTTGAATCCCAGGTCTGGTCTTAACCAGCTAAGTGACTTGGGAAAGTTATTTAACCCCTCTAATCCTCAGTTTATCTGTACAATGAGAAAATGCCATATTTCATCAAATTGCTTGTACTATAGGGTCATTCATTTGTGTATCACTAGAATAAGAAACCCTCATAGCAGATTAAACTAAGATGCCATGGATTACATGAAGTATTCAGTTATGCAGCTTAGAACTGAGGAAATACATAAATAGTACAGAACTCCTAGGGCTATTTTGAAGATTGAATGAGTTGATATAAAGAACTTATTAATTAATAATATAAATGAGTAGTTAAAGATTACTAAAGAGTCACCACATTTATTTTATTTTGGCTCTTTAAAATATTCCAATAATGTTTACAAAGTTAACCAAATTCTTAAATACATTTCCACTTAAAAATAACAAGTCAATAGTCAGTTGCAAAATCACATTTTATATTGGAGTCACAAGGCTAATCTGACAAATACTCTAATTTGCTAAATTTTCAAATATTAATAAGTATTTTAAATACCAAACAGATACAGATTGTTTCAATAATAACAAAATTTATTCTTGAATGAACCCAGATTTGTAGCCAGATTATTTAAGGTCAGATTCCGGCTAGCCCTAACGAAGCTGTTCTCTCATCTTGTAAAATGGGCACAGTAATTCTTACATCAAATCCAATGCAATATCTATTTTAAGATAAACTATTACTTTATGTACCACGAGAAAAGATTTTTAAAAAAAGATACTGCCTATTAAGTGACAAGTCATCAATTATAAGATGTATTCAGATTTCAGAAATGGCAATAAGTGAATCAAGCATAAAATTATTAACCTTGCTTAATTATTTCTATATGCAATTCTAAAGTCCTATAGTTTCAAAATGAAGTATCCCAAGGGAATTGAGGTTATGTTCTCAAAATTGATTAACAATTAGGTAGAAAAGTTTGCTTATCATCTGATATTTTTTTTATCTAGATGTGAAACATATTCACCAAATGGGAAAGTTACATAATTTAACTCTCCTACCTACCGTTATGCACAATATGCTGATCTGATTTGAATTACTGATCCTCTTACCTGGGTTACCTCAGTACTCAGTTGTAATTTACTATTTACTCACTCCTTGATCTGTTCTGAATTTTTTTCTTATTACTATTTGGACTATAGTCCAGAGTTTTAAGTGATATCTGATTAACATATGCATACCTCTCACATGCCTTATCTTAAAAAGAAAAAGGAACTTGGACATCTTTCCCTCTTTGGTTTCTTTAGCTTTCTTCTCAGATAATTTTTATTTTGTTTGATTTTTCAAATAGGCAGTAGAGGAAAGTAAGACTACTTCTAATAAGCTTTCAGTTAAAGTTCTATTATTTAATTGCAAAAACGAAGTAGAATTAAAGGAAATCAGAATGAAAAATAATATCCATTTATAGTCTTCCTGTTTCAATAATTTTAATCTCCTTTTCTCTCAATGACTAAATAAACATAAAATGTTTAATTATAACTGTGTCAGAGATTCAGTTCTGAAATCTGACATTTTCACATAATATTGTTATTAGCTCATTTCTTTTACCTTCAAAACTTTATTTTTAATGACAATGATGGGCTAGGTGCTTTGTACTTAACCATTCACTTTTAGTCACCCCATAGTGTTACTATATATTACACTACCATGAATAACCTTTCGTTTATTTCCCTTCTTTTGAATTACATCTTTGCATACGTAACTTAGACATACAACTGGTTGTTCAGAGAGCTAGAATATTTTTATAATCTTTATAGCAATTAACCATAGATATGCAACAGTTTTCTTGGTAAGGGTCATCTTTGTATACTAGCTTAATTTGTCTTACTGAATCAAAGAGCTGTACTCACTGTGGAAAATAGGTCCCTAGTTGCTCTAAAGGAGCTTATGAAGTAGAAACCATAGTCCGATTTCAATTTTCTTAGGAGTAAGCAGCATAGATATGTGGATATTCAAGTAATAAAGGTACAGTTAAATCCCAATGATAGCAAAACAAAAGATAATCAACATTTTCAAAGCATAGGCCGTGTGCTAGGGTATACCTTAAATGCCTTATTTGTACAGCAATCTTTCATTTTATCCTCCAAACAATCCCCTGTGAGGGTTAGTGCTATCATTCCCATCTTAGAGATGAAAAAACTGAGGTAGAAAAAAGTAAAATAACTTGAAAGTCACACAGTTAAAAGTAATAGTGCTATAAACTGAACCCAGGACATCTGATTTCACTTGGTGTTCTTAACCTCACAAGAAGAGAGGTAGGGATAGGGACTGAATTTAGGGGGCAGATAATTTATAGGCAGTTTGGAAGTTGTGGATAAATACAAAATTTCTTAACAAACTCAAACAGTGGACAGTTTATTGGAGGAATATGTAGTGACTCCAATAAAAATATCTGTATTAAGACCTTTAAAATGTTTTTATTTTATAAGTTTCTATTTTACGAGTATATGATTAAAGCATAAATATCTCTGATTATATCTTGAAGACAAATTACAATCCTGCTTATAGTAATACTTGCGATTAATTTTGAGATACTGTTAAAAAATTTAATATTACTCGGAGATGACAATATTTAGATTTACTTTTCCATGAAAGTCGTTTCTGGACTCTTACCTCTTCCTTTATGAATGTTTAAGCTTTGAATAAGCAGCTTTCTTATCTGCACCATTGGAGAACTGAAAAACATATATGATCACAGATGAAGTCATTTGCATTCACTTCTGAAATCCGGTAGAAGTGAACACCTACCCTAGGACATTTATTGATATTCTCAATATCCCCTAATGTTTTGAGGCTGTGCTCTGGGCTCCAGAAGACCACTGGAAGAACTTCATTATATGCTCAACAAAGAATCAAGAATTTAGGCGGGTAAAGCAGGCTTATGAAATTGTTTAAAAATATGAACAGCACTTGACTGACTTCACTAATGTGTTTTACCTACCATCTCAACTCTTGCTTATAATGCATCTCATCCAAACTGGAATACTGCATATCTTAAGTTATACACCCATTATGAAATGTTGCCTGTTTTTAGCCTCATTCCTGATTTACATACTCCTTTTTTCTTTCATATTTTTACTGGAAAACATTCTGAAGTCAGGAGAGTTCAAAGCTTTTGAAAATTTTTTGCTGACTCTTTGTAGAAATATTCCCAAACTGCTATAGCCTTGCACTTTCATATTTGCCTCTTTCTCAACATTGTGGTCTTAAATTATTTTGATCACTACCTAAAGAGCAGAAAAAACTTCTGATATTTAGCATTTTTCTTGAAATTTCCAGATGTAAATAGAATTTTACAAAGTGTCAAATATCTTTTTGACCAAATTCAATTTCTTTGACTCCCTCCCTTAATTTTCTCAAAAGAGTCTCCTTAGCCCTTGGGGTCCAATTCATTTGAAGTCTCTTATTTCCTCTCAGATACATTATTGATACGGCATGCACAGGGTAAATGTGTTATAATGTTATGTGTTATCATAGTCCAAAGTTAAGATTTGCATAAAAAGCTCTCTTTTTAAAATTAAAGAATTATATAATTTTCATCTTAATGGAAGAATGTGTACAACTGTTAAGATTATGAATGTGGAGGTATCATTGGCCTGTGGTTTCTTTATTAGCTTTCCTGTTTTATATATGAAAACTAATTTAGGAAGAGTTACTTTGATTTTTTTTTTTCTTACAGAGTACTTACATGATAAACTAGAGGAATATATAAAACAATTTTCTATAGTGAAGATAGTCAGACAAAGAGAGAGAAAAGGTCTGATCACTGCACGGTTGCTAGGAGCAACGGTAGCAACCGGTGAAACACTCACATTTTTAGATGCTCACTGTAAGTATATTTGTACAGATGTAGTTGTAACATTTTCCCTCCCCCTCCCTCTAATTTAAAAGGTAAGAAAGACTTTTCTTTAAATGCCTAGTTGCAGTTAGCATCGTTTTCAACTGGTGTTTATATCGATGACAGCCCCAGCAGATTACAGCCCTGAGTAGGAGCTTCCTCTCACTTATAAGTAGTTCTTATCTCCTTAGTGTGAAAGGCTCCTCAACTTTCATGTCAGTCAGTGACCAGCTTCCCCAGACACTTGTCCTTACCTGGGATTTTTTTCAGATGCTTGTTCTGTCCAAACAAAAAAAAAGAAATATGTTTTTCCTTACTATTTTGATTCCTACACTGTGAAAATGATTGAAAGTTTTAAGTGTAATCAACCCTGTCATTAAACTCTGTGCTAGTCCTGATATTTTCATTTTTTATGTTTTATTTCTTTTTTTTCAAAGATTCCCACACACCTTCCTATGCCGAGTTAGGGATGTCGCCTCTCAGCTTCTGGAATCTCTCCCATGAACATTGTCAATGTTTGTTTTTGTTGCTGCTGGGTTTTTGTCTTATTTATCTTTAATGTTTGGTGTCAGTGATTTTAAGTAAAGTATTTTAAAAATGTTTTTAGAGTCAATGTTTAATGTGCATGTTAGGTATTACTGAAATGTCTCCTAGTTCCTTGAGCTCTAAATTAGGTTTTTAAGTTAAAATTTTAAAATTTGGGTTTTACTCTTTGTATGAGTGTAGCTGTGACTGGCTAGCCCTTAGGTAATCTTTGGCCCGGCGAATGGTTTTGAGCAGATACGCTAATTGTCCCGGCTGTGCTTTCGGATGTGCTTGCATCTCTTCAGGGGCACCACATCCAGGACTCTCTTAATATGAGGTGCTTAGTGAAGAGAGGTCTAAAGGCACTCCAGGAGAAATGTTAAAAAAGGAAATGGTCCATTCTTTAGTATTCCCTCTCCTGGTCCAAAATTACAGTAATGTCAGGCTGGACCATCCTAACCTCCAGGCAAATGTGTCTGCAGGTCCTCCTTGACCGTGAGTGCCACACTGCGCTTGATGGGGCGTCCTCAGTAGGACCACATCTCCTGGGCCCCATGTGTTGTGTGAGAAAGCCTGGCCCTGTGCCTGGGGCCCGGACCTTTCATGGAACTCCTCTGTCCCCGCCTTCTATAGGGCTGAGCAAAAAGTTATCTTTAATTCATGATTTAATCCTTTAATCCATTTTAAAGGGAAACACATCATCTAAAACTTAATACACCACTCACATTTTACTTCCATTCTAAGGTAAAAAAAAAAAAAAGATCATTCTGTAGGGAAGTTTTCCTAACTATGCTGAATCTTACCTTATTTTTTTCTACCCTGATCTTGTCACAAGAAACCATTAAGCAATCTCCCAGATATAAATGTTGAAACACAAATGACTGTTTTTCTCATTTTTCTGTAAACCTTCTTCCAAAAAACCAAAGCCCTCAGTGTTTTCACTGGCTTAATGAGAATCATGTCCCTTCCAGGTGAGTGTTTCTATGGTTGGTTAGAGCCTCTGCTGGCCAGGATAGCCGAGAACCACACCGCCGTCGTGAGTCCAGACATTGCATCCATAGATATGAACACGTTTGAATTCAACAAACCTTCTCCTTATGGAAGTAACCATAACCGTGGAAATTTTGACTGGAGCCTTTCATTCGGCTGGGAATCCCTTCCTGATCATGAGAGGCAACGGAGGAAAGATGAGACCTACCCAATTAAGTAAGATGATTGTTCTCAAAGTCTTATGTACACTTCAATTATTTGAATCTGTAAGCACTCTTTGCCTTTTACAGTGATTGCTTCCAAAGGTAATTCACATTAACAAATGAACGCGTGTTATATGTGTGGATAGCGAAGTCCTTATGCACATACACACTATCTTACTAGTAGGAAGTAGAATTAAGTGGACTCTTAAGTCTTCCTCATGGTCACTAAAGGATCTGTGAGCTTGGTCAGAACACATAAGTTTGCTTTTGCTCAGAAAAGATATTTAAAGTACTTCCCCTCCCTTCCAAAACTTGATTTTGAAGATAGAATTTTCAGTTTTTATTAATCTATATAAAAGCTTTGACACTGTAATCTTGCTTTAATTTTTTTGATTCAGTTGCTCTTAAAATATGTTCTTTTTTCTTACATGATTTTTATAACAAAGTTTGGGAATGGATTATTTTTCAGAACACCCACATTTGCAGGAGGCCTTTTTTCCATATCAAAAGAATATTTTGAATATATTGGAACTTATGATGAAGAAATGGAAATCTGGGGAGGTGAAAATATAGAAATGTCTTTCAGAGTAAGTTTATAAACACAGCACACATAGTGACAATAAAATATATATTTTATTCTATTGGGCTAATATAGATAATTGTGGATTTGTGCAATCTTTTCTTTTTGTGCTTTCTAAAATTTAATTGCTAGAAATTTTAGAATAAGGATATTTCCTTTTAATATGTCATTTATTATATTTATTTATTGCTGCCAGTGTAATAAGAACAATCAGTTAAACTCCTGTGTCCAGGCAATAACATCAATTAATGCACTTGTAGCTACTGAATTTCAGCCAAGATAAATATAATTAAATCTAGTGCTTCAGGAAATGAGTTGATTATCAAGGGAGTCAGAATGGAAAACATGTATGATTTTAAAGGATATTGAACTTAACTCTGGATTAAATGAACTTTCTTGTTTTTCTATGCATATTAAAAGTTAATATGAGAAATAAAGCTAAGGCTTTGGGTAGTCTATACATGTACTTATTTAATTGCGTGAGTTCATTTTCTGCCATTCATTTTTCATCCCTTGGGCTATAATGTGGCAGAGAAAGAACTGAACTAGGAGAAGATTTAAGTTTTAGCTATGGCTTCATCACATAAGAGCCATGATGATCTTAGCTGAGTTCCAACTGCCTAAGGGCAGGGGTCTTGTTTTATTCATTTCAGTATTCCCAACCCCTAGCATATGCTGGAATCTCAGACACAGTCTGTTGATTTGAACAAATCACTGAGTTTTTCTCATTTGTTTAAATAAGAAAAAAAAGAACTTGCATAATTGTCTGCAAAAAAATATTTTGGCATTCACTTTTATGAAAGATCTGAAGCTTTTTGTTAAATTACTTTCTGAAAACATGCTTTTGTTGTCTTTAGTGTTTGTACCATTTAATAAAACCTTTCTTTAGATTTAAGAACATTACTTTGAACGTGCAGGGGACAGGACTGTCTGTGAAGTAATAAATCTCATTTCTATATTTTGTTTTTATTAATATCTTAGAGGTGAACTTAAAAGCAACACTTTGGTTTTCCTAAAATACTGTAAATTTAAACAAATATCATTGATTATCAGGTGTGGCAATGTGGTGGGCAGTTGGAGATTATGCCTTGCTCTGTTGTTGGACATGTTTTTCGCAGCAAAAGCCCTCATACGTTTCCAAAAGGCACTCAGGTGATTGCTCGCAACCAAGTTCGCCTTGCAGAAGTCTGGATGGATGAATATAAGGAAATATTTTATAGGAGAAACACAGATGCAGCAAAAATTGTTAAGCAAGTAAGTTAGAGCTAAGTAAACAAATCAGAAAAAAATCCACACCATGTTCACATGTACTTTTTTACTTATTTGATTCAACTCAAGTACAAAACATTTTTAAAAGTTTGTTTCTGAAGCATTTTTTTTAACTCTTCAAACATATAACTCATTGATGCCAGTTTCCTTTTTTTTTTAAAGGAAAAATTGAGTAAACTGCTTGAAAAAACTTGGGCATTCTAGACATTGTTCTCCTTTTTTAAGCATGGAAGATACTTAGTTTTTGTAAGTGTCTTGGTTCACTTCACTCAAAGAAAATAAGATTAAGTGGAACTACTTTAAGCTGGTTTTAGCTGTGTTATTAACACCTAAATCAAGGTGTGTGAAGATCTTTTTGAACTGGAGACAGAGACAATGACAGAATGTGGCAGAACCAGGCATATCAAGGCCTTTTTATTTCAAGCTCTAGTTCCACCGTTCATTGGAGGAGTGTTACCTTGGCAAAGCTCCTTTGAGACTGTGACATGGGATTGGCACTTCACAGAGTGGTGGAGAGGCTGGCCAGACCTGGAGCGTGCGCTCGGCCAAGTTTCACGCCCCTTCCCTGCCTTGAGACATGAAATACTTGCCTGTCCCAAAGATTAGCTGTGTGACAAGGAAATAAGTGCAAACAAATATGTGGTCCTGTCATTTCTGTTAGTGACCTGTCATAGATAAAAGCTCTGCAGAATAGTGATGCCTAGGGCGTTAGAACTGAGCTCCAACACTTTTCCTATTGGTTGTGGTAAATGAACTAGACAATTTAAAAACATGCTTCAGTGAATGGCACCTAACTCTAAGAAACAGGGCTGAACTATTGGGCAGATATATATTGGTATTAAAGAGCATTAACATTTTGACTGTCATGAAGAGAGATCTCACTGCATCTTCCCATCTTTTCTTTGGACTCCAGTGCCTCCTTGTAACATGTCAGTAGGATGCAAAGTCTGAGCACCACTGGGTCAGGTCGCTATCTTTTCACCCAAGGCCACCTAGACAGACTGAGTAGGTTGTGCACTTGGCTAAGCAGGCAAGTGGGAGCTAAACACACTTATGCCCTCCTGTCACCCACAAGGGGTGAGCGAGCCAGTAAGCCCCACATGACAAGTAGATCTATGTGGTAATTGCATAAGCTAGTCGGAAGTCCTTTATAGTTTCATAATTTTTGCTAAAACCTCTGGTTTCAAGACATTGAAGATGGCAAAGAAAATATTTTCCTTGAACTAATGAACTTGAGTATTTAGATTTTCATATATTTATATATTTAGGTACCACATAGAATTTTTCTTTATAATTTGTCTATAGACCAAATACCATTTCAGTTTAATAGTGCTCTTTAAAAAAAATGTAGTTTTCTGAGTCTTTTAAAATAAAGGCAAATAAAATACAATTGCTTAAACACTTACCTTTCTCTACTAATACATTGTTATTGTTAAGATATTGTTAGGAGTCAGCAATACCATAAAACTTGGAAAAAGTATTCCCAACTGTGATTTTTCTGACTGTTGAAGAGAGATGAATTGCATTGTGTCGGCACTGCTTCTCCAGACCTTCTTTCTCACCTCACCTTACAGCTCACTTTCGGGCGCGCAGTTGAGATCAGTTTTGGATACTCCCACTACCATTTATTTGCTCAAAGCATTTTGCTCAAGATCTTGGTCCCACAGGGGAGGTTTCTGGTGCAAAGGAAGAAAGAAACAGCACTACCAGCACCACAGTCATACTTGACTCTTTTTTGAAGTAAAAAATGAGCAGGCAGGCATACATGTTGCCAGAATGAATAGTGAATGCCATTAAATTGCATCTTGCATTTGGGCCCAGATTTTTTTTTAGGACCTAGATATAAATATAAATAGCAGTACTTGGAGAATGTTTGAGCAACCATTCCTTTCACTTCTTATCTTTCTCCAGAAATCATTTGGTGATCTTTCAAAAAGATTTGAAATAAGACAACGCCTTCAATGTAAAAATTTTACATGGTATCTGAAAAATATTTATCCAGAAGTGTATGTGCCAGACCTTAGTCCTGTTGTATCTGGATATGTGAGTATTTTCCTGTTCTTTTTTTAACTTGGTATACTCCTTGCACCAACATTTATGTGGTTTGGGGAAAATTGCTGAAATACTTTCTCGTTTATTGCTTTTGAGATTTTTTACATTATTATTATAAACACTAATTCCTTGAATTAGTTCAATTCATTGAACCAAATTAATTGAAAAAGTATAATAACCAAATAGGTTTTCATTTTAATTTTTATAACTTGAAATTTTTCCTTTAGATTAAAAGCTTTGGCCAGCCTCTCTGTCTGGATGTCGGAGAAAATAATCAAGGAGGCAAGCCATTAATTTTGTACACGTGTCATGGACTTGGGGGAAACCAGGTGAGCAGAAGAATCCTCTCTTCTCATTTAGCACTTAGAACGACCAGTAAGGCATTGCAGGTTTTTCACAAGTAGATCAGTATTATAGTCAGTTAAACTGGTATGTGAAAGAAATGCTTTTAGATTTTGTTCTGCAATTAATGTTGAAATTGCAGAGTACTTTATTTTGATTCTCATTCTGGCCTTGAAAACAGTTTGACATTGCCTACCCATTCAGTAGAAAGGCAAATGAGGAAATAAAAGAATAATTCCATTTGAAATAAAAAAGAAGGATCTTCTATGCCAGTCTTTGATATTGACTACTGGCATGATGATTTTGCAGTATCATACATAAGGCTATCTTTAATTGGATTCAATAGCAAAGTATATCAAGTGTTAATACCACAAGAACAGTATTAATAGCAAAAGAAAGAAAAGCTATGATATTACTTCAATGTTCTAAAAAAAAAAAGGTAGGCTCTTGATTCTCCTTGATTGAGTACATCTCTGCTTGTTACTACTCTTTGTTTTACCAATTAAGACTCAAATGTCAAATGTCACTATTTGGCCTATTATGAGTAGATAACAGATTAAAATATTATTTCTAGCTTTTAGCTTCCTTTCCTTGCCTTTTGCAAGTCCACTGCTGGAAGGATTAGACTCTCCTCTCGTTTGTTCATTCAGCAAATTCACCGAGTGACTTCTGCATGCCAGGTGCTCTAGCTGGCACTGTAGCTGCATTCAAGCAATTTAGATTCTAACTCCTTCAGGAAGTCTGTATTTCAAAACCAGCAATTACAGCGAGGATTATAAGGTCTGGAGTAAATCATTCTGAGTGCTCTGGGGGTATGAAGGAGGGCATCTGAATTAGACTAGGTGCCTATACATTTTCCTGGGAAAGATGACATTTGAAACCATATTTTTGAAAGATATGTGGGAGTTAGTGAGGTGGCTGGGGGAATGAGAATGTAATGAGAAGAGTGCAAAGAATTGTGTACGAAGGGAAGAGGCTGGTATGTTTTTTTTCTGTGAATTGAAGTTATCTTGGTATACAGTCCAGGATGTGTGTAGGATTTTCACAGTATTAAGTACTCCTGTGTTCTATTTTAACAGGATGGGACTTTGATGATGTCATTATTAAGAAGAAAGGGTCAGTTTATCTCCTGGCCCATCCCCTTCCATGTTTCTTCCCACTCATTAGCTTCAACTCAGTCTAGTTCCAGCTTTTATTCATTCAAACCCATCAGCTTACTGAGGGCTAGAAGCCACAGCTAGTGAACAGGGTCTGTCGCTGGATGGTTGAGGTGTAATTCTGAAACAGGATGGAGGTACACACACATACACACAGATACACACATGCATTTAAAATTTTTTCCTTTCCCTCGGTATATTAGAAGAAAAAGATAATTATTTAATAAATAATTGCATTCTTTTAAAAATAACACCGGACTAGTAAAAATAAAGGTTTTGAGCAATGAGAAATATTTTCTCATTTTTAGAACTTATCACTAACCATAAATACTTACAAATTTCTCTCAGGCTTCCCTTAGCATTACATTTATTTTATCATAAACATTAAAGATATATTTTATACATTGTTTTGTCTGTTTCTCTCTTATTATTGCCATAACAAAGTTTTTATAGGTTAGTCCCTAAAATAATTTTTAAATTATAAATAGAACATAGCTGTCTTCTAGAAAATTTGGGATGGAAAAATAATCCACACATTATTTCAACAAATATTTGTTTCGAGCTTGCTGTATGTAACTTGCATTGGTATAGTAGTGAAAAAGGCAACAATCCCTGTCTTGTGGAGCTTGTATATTTTAGAAGGAAAGGAAAAAATGTATATATATATAATTTTGGGTATGAAGAAAAATAAAAGTGTAGGGGGATAATGGTGGGAGTCGTCATCTTCAGAGGTTCAGGAAGACCTCTGAGAAGATTCCTTCAGAGCTGGAGGCCTGGAGGAGCTGGAGGAGGAACCACGTTCCCGGAGGAGAGCATCCGGGCAGAGGGGGTGCAGGCCTGAGACCCAGTGCGGGTAGATGACGTCAGCAGAAAGCCAGGGCGGCGGGACAGAGTGGGCCCAGAGAGGGGGGGCAGAGACGTGCATAAGGGGCCTGCTCATCTGAGGCTTGCAGGCCTCCTTAAGGGACTTGGGTTTAATTCTGAGTGTGACAGAAGCCATCCAAGAGTTTGGGGCAGGAGAATAATATTTTCCAGTTTACATTTTAAAGAGATGACTCTGCTTTCTGTCACTCTAATACAGCCATTGACTTTACTTTGGTTTATTTCCTTCAAATTTTGTTTTCAATCAAGCATTGCAATTACACTACTTTGCAAACTTTAGCTCCTTGAGTGCTGAATGTTTTTAAGGTATTTCACTTGATCATTTTGTCCTGCTCTCTTCTACTGTCTGAGCACATAGTGATATTTTTAAAATATAAAAACTCCATTGAAACAGTATTTGTATATGCCAAGTAAAAATTAAATAGGTGTTTTGATAAGATAACAAAATTGGCAAAGATACCGGTGCCGTGCAGTTTGAGTCATTACGGCTTTGTAACACTTACTGTCTTGGCGTCTTCCCAGAGTGCTTGTCCCAGCTCTAAGTCGCCGCTCCAGTGTTCCCAGCTAGCTAGTAATGTACTCTTTTTGGTTGCCTAAGTATCTTCAACTCTTCCATTCCTTATAAATTCTGTTTTAATATTTATTTATATTTTATAATAGGAATGAAATAAAATACTGACTACCTTTCTTAGCAACTTGGAGATCCTAAGGTTTATCTTAGGGAAGTATAGCCAGAGTGCCTTTTTCATGATCTAAACCAATTTTTTTTTCATTAGCTCCATCTGAAGAACTATCAGTCATCAAAATGACTGGTATTATACTTGTAGAAGGAGATAAAGTAAGCATGAGACTAAGACCAGGGGATCTCAAGGTTAATTCAGTTAATCTTTGTGGAGTGGCTGCTTAAATACACAGGAAGGGTTTACAACAGTCCCTGCCTACAGCATTTAAGGGCCCAATAAATATTAGTGCTAAGGCTCATTATTTCATTATGGAAAATCAATTAAGTTCACTTATTTTATCTTTGGAATGTCAATATTATGAAATACTTGATTTGTAATGGCCGTTATTACTAGCTACACTGCCTGACTTTGGTCTATGGTAAAGCCAGCTAGCTTTACCAATTCCAGTAGAGTGCTACAAAAATTTCTGATATACTATGGGAACCCTGAAAAGGAGATAACTTGGCCTAGTAGGACACAGTCAGCAAAAACAAAGGAAGATAGGTAATATTTTAATTGGCTTTTGAGGAGTGGAAAGGAGTTTGTAGGCAGAGAAGGACCCAGAAGGCTATTCCAGGGAGAGCACCGTAAAGCGGAGTCTTGGAGTTACAGATGCATGCTCTGCGCTGGTAGAATTGTGTGAAAGGAGCATAGTACATGATAGGGCAATGGTTGATGTAAGATTGAAAATAGAAGATTTCATGTACCAGTTAAGGGGTGTGGACTCTTACCTTAGCAGCAATAGTGACTCACTTAGGCAGGGAGGTAGGGGATCAAATCAATGTTCTAAAAGACTAACTGGCTGCAGAGTAGATTGGATTAGAGAAGTGGAAACTGGGGGTAGCTGAAGGTGCTGGAGTAGAGATTTTGAGTGCCTGGAAAGAGACATGAGAATGCGGAGGTAAGTGGGATGGTAACAGCTGAGAGGAAAATCAGTTGGACTAAGGGACTAATTACTTAATTGGATGTATGGGAGTAAGACGCATCAATAATAGTAACAAGAGCCAAAACGTATTGAATGCTTATAATGTAGCAGTTATTGTTCTAGTATATTGGCTAATTTATGTATTAGCCCATTTATCTTCCTAACACTAAGGGGTAGAAGCTATTAAATTAGCCATTTTACAGGCAAGGAAATTGAGACACGGCAAGTAACCTCTTTAATTGTTCTTAGTTTAAATGATGATACCATTAATTGAGATGAATATGAGAGAAAGAACACTTGTGCAAAGGAAGAGTCAGTTAGTGAACTTGCTAGAACTTTCCAGGCCTTTTTTTTGTGGCATCCCTTCCCTAGCCTCCATTCTACCTAATAACTTCCATTTCTGATGTGGGAAAGAAAAGAGTATCTTTTTAATTAAGTAATTACCTGTTGGTATAGGCTGGAGAAAGCTTATAGTATCTTGTGTCAGAAAAACTTAGCTTATGTTTCCAACGACTACATTTATTGTAACATCTTGCTGAAGTATGTATGACTTCATTCTTCAGTGAGTTGCTGCCTGTTTTTTGGACCATTATTTTGCACCAGAGCATACACGGTGCTTTTGTCAGTAACAGCATTCTTCCCTTCACAGTACTTTGAGTACTCGGCTCAACATGAAATTCGGCATAACATCCAGAAAGAATTATGTCTTCATGCTGTTCAGGGTTTCGTTCAGCTGAAAACATGTACCTACAAAGGTCACAAGACAATTGCCACTGGAGAACAGCTGTGGGAGATGCAGAAGGTACCTCAGTGTAATTAATTCATCCCTTTATATAATTATTTTGATCAGCTCTAATTGCTTATTTGGGAAAAATGCATGAAACATCAGAATTTCTCTGTTAATTTTTTTGTTATGCATTTCTATCCATATGCTCAGAGAAAATATATATATGAATTAAATACTCTTAGGAATGAAATAATGGTACAGTTGCGTAAAGCCTGGTTTATGCAGATGAGCACCCCTGTGAAGAATGAACACTAGTTACCCACTTTATCTTTTTAGAATTTCTTATAATGCTTTTTGTCACATTTTTTCCTGGCAGAGAGAAAAAAAAGTCATTATTTTTACTCACTTAAGGTGATTGATTTTTTTCCTCACCGGTTTTAGTACTTTTTCTTGAATCTAGAATTGAGAGAATACGTGAAGGTCTTTTATGTTTTCAAACATGTTTTAAGTCTTAGTTGAAACATAGCAATTCTTACCTGAAAATTGTATTGTGTAATACTAGAACCTATAAGACTGACTTTTATAATTTATGATTTTTTTAGAGTTTTTCACTTACATGAGTGAAATGTTTCTTGTTTGAAAACGTGATTCAGCCCTTGCTCTGCACACCACTCTTCATTTGTGTAGTGCCTTCTGTGAACTGAACAGTAGTGGCATAAATGGTGTTATTTATACCAGAATTTGACAACATTTTATCAGATGTAGTTGATTTTAGAAAGATTAAAGGTTAAAAATACTGCATTTGATGTGTATGTCTCCCTTTGGCTTTGATGAGAACATAATGTAGTTTTCATATTTATCAGTAACTATGAGTCTTGGAACTTAATGTCTGCTATGTTTCCTTTTATTCTAGGGTCAACTTCTCTATAATCCGTTCTTTAACATGTGCCTTTCAGCAAGTGGAGAGCATCCGAGCTTAGCGTCTTGCAGTCCGTCAGATCCACTCCAAAAATGGATTTTTAACCAAAATGATTAAGTGTTCCTTAAAATTAAGGAGTTGAAAAAAGAGATATTATTTCTCATAAAACTGTGACTAGGCATACACTGTAGTTTTTGAAAATTATGCAAAAGCAGCTAATTGTAACTTATTCCAAGTGCTTTTTTCTTATTTATATCTTGAAATGTCCATGTAGCATTGCTACAGGAATCCCTGAAGTTTCACTTCAAATCACAATAACTAGTGATACCAAAGACTATTTTGAAATGTCTAGATGCAGGGGAAGAGATGTTTACAGTATGATGCAAATAATTTTCCAAGTAAAGTGATATTTGTTTTGTACACTTAACGATATGCATAGCTACATTCAGACACTCACAATTTAAAATATTTCTTCTAGTTTTTTGGGGGGTGGGAGAAAGATTTGATACTGTATTTTTTTAACTACATAGAAATGGGTCAATGAAGGTCAAACATTGGCCTTTGTGTACAAACCAGGAAGTTTTTATAGATCTAGAAATTATTACATAAAAATGCAAGTACACTTTTTTTTGCCTTTTGTTTACTTATCTGTCAAATGTTTCCTTAAACATGGAGTTAAATAAGAAGAATATTTTTAACACTTCAATTTCTTGGCAAATTTTAAAATATTTTTTAGTCTGAAGCTCACTTGACTTGAAGCACTTGTCTTCCTTAAAAGACATTTCTTAAATAACTACACTGTGTGTTTTCTTAAAGCAATTAAAAAAAAGAAAACTATAAATTACTACCTGTCGAAAAGGCGTCTTTTTCCTTTTTGTTAGACTTTCTTTCCTTACCAAAATTCACTAATCTTGAATGTTTTGTAAAACTGAATTTCAAAAGCAGAATACTTGACTCATTTAAAGCTAAATTTTATTTGTTATTGATTCAATTATAGGTTGTCTTTGTAATTATTTTTTTATCAAAAGAAACTTATTTCTGTCTATGTGGAAAACACAATAAAACAAACCCTTATCACTATTGTAATTATTTAAGTTTTTTTCTCTTTTGGATAGAATATGTAATTGATAATGGGGGAAGCATGAATTTTGTACAATGAATTTCTAAGCACTGATTGAAGAGCCATCAAATATATCTTAAGGAAAATGTAAACATTGGTAGTAATGGCATTAAAAAATGGTGAATGGAGAAGATTCTATATTAAATATTTAGAAAATTTTGTGCTAATTTCTGATAACTTTCCTTGAACATCTAATAATTTTTTTTAATGTGATGCTTACTTAGATAAAAAAAATTTTCCTTTTGGTTATTTTATATGTAGATCGCCTATATTCTTATTTAAGAAGTAAACTATGATTGGTTTCATATTTTAAACTGGCAGAGCCTCAATTATGCAAAAGAAAATATTTAAAAATTATTGGTCCTATCTTCTTATCATTTGTAACTTTGAACTTGCATTAAAAAAATCTGAATTCCTTAATTTATTACAATGCCAACTTTTATTTCGGTTCAAGTAACATTTATTGTGTGCCTAACTTCGTTCCAGATGTTGTGGTAGGCAGAATAGGACATATATTGCCTTTGAGCTTAGGTCTTATGGAGCAGAAAGATACATAATTTTGAAATAGCATAGTGAGTGACATTATAATGTTATATTTTATCATGCAGATGACAGCTCGCTCTTCATGTTATATCTTTAATGAGTATAGACATTTATTTATTACTATAGCTAAATACTTTGCCCACTTACATGTATAATTTCTGTTTCTCAATTTGTTACTCTTGTGTGAACATCCAGGAGCAAATATTGCTCTTAGAGTTTGTTATGTCTCACAAAACAAAAAACAAATCCTCAAAGATATTTTATAAATGAACGTAAGTAAAGCATAATAAAAAGTAAATCTGAGTGCCTTCTGTGTATTAGTTAAGTGTTGTCATGTTCCAACCAAAATCTGTTCCCACTAGGTTGATGTATTATGGCTGTGCTAACTGCAGAGTCCTTCTTAACTTGATTTGGGAGCCCCAGGCTGTTGCCCAAGTGTCATTTAACTACTTCATTAGGAATTTTCCCTTTAGGGTGGTGGTAGTGTCTTTTAAAAGTCTGAGTTTTGAAACAGTGCTAACAAGAAGTTATTTATGGAGTCTGGCTGCCATCCGTCTGAGAGATTTGAATGCATTCAAGTGTGAAATTGTATCACTCTTGCTCAGTGTTAAGCTACCGTGGCTAACAGTGTAGCTATTGCAGAAGACCTGGCACGGTGCCTTCATTGCAAAGGACCAGGTCCCAAGAACTCTAGATCGGTGAGCTGCACTGCCCAAACTGCTAGGGTCCAGCTGGGGGTGGGCTCGCTGAAAACCAGGAAGTGAGCACAGAACCATAGGACCGAATAAGCAAGAGACTGACATTGCCTATTACTACAACCAATGATGATGAAATTTTTTTATTGAAGTATAGTTAATTACAATATTATGATGATAAATTTTTAAATCCCTAGATTGCCAGAGATTTGGCCTTACTGTTGATAGACAATTTAAGTATTATGTAAACCACAGTATCAAAATGTAAGTGCAAAAAGGTAGGGAGTTGCTATTTCTGAGAAAACAAGGTTGAATGCTTTAGGAAAAATAGAAAAAAAAATTATTTTAGAAATGCTGCTACTTATGTGTGGAAAAGAACTATAAAAGTTAGGGAAAACAGAAAGCTAAGCAGATTCTGCACTCAGATTGCTTCACAATTCACTTTGGAGAAAACAAAACAAGTATCTGATGTATCATTAGTATGGTTTGTATAGGAACGATGCTGAATAAGTCTTATAAGCCAATTCAAAAGACCTTAGCCTTATACCGGATATTTGTGAAGGAATTAACATACATACAAATGTAGGAGTATATGTGCTTTAAGTTAAAAGTATCTTCTTTAATGGATTTCTATTTTAACTACCTTTTTAAAATCATCAATTAGCTATCAGACCAGCTGATTGGGGAAGAGACTTCTGCACACATACATATATATTATTGCTCTGTAACCTTTAACAACTCTAGTCTTCAACAATATTTAGGAAATATCTGTGTTTTTGTGATTATAGTAGGCATCAGGGACCAACGATACACAAAATGGTCCCTATCTTCAAGAAGTTCACAGTCTAGTAGTCATCAGTGAGGTATCAGAATGATGATGTTTTGGAGAGAGTCCATGATGGAGTCCACACCTTTCGCCTTTGGTGCATCCATTGCCAGGAGCTATGGGAGAAAACAGAGGTGCCTAGTGTTTTAGAGGTAAACAACTAGAGTAATGCTTCTTGAGCTTTATTGTGCATACCTGGGGATTTTATTAAAATGCAGATTCTGATTCATTAAGTCTGGGGTACAACCTATGATTCTTATTTCCAGTAAGCTCTTCGATGATGCCAAAGCTGCTGGTCCTGGAACCGCACTTTGAGTGGAAAGATGGCTAAATATCCATGACTCCAGCATCCGGCTGTCATTACTTGACCACCCCATTTCCTTCTCTTAGCCACACCCTCCATTGCATCTCTAGTAACCGTTTCTTCTCTGACAGCTTGATCACACATAGGCTCTGACTACTTCTAGCTCATTTGTACTAGTCTTTCCTCTTAAAAAACCTTTCCTTACCTCTGAGCCCTCCAAACTGTTGATCTCATTGCTTATTCGTGATCGTTCTCATCTAGTCCACACTTGTCTCCTGGTCCAGGGTGGCTTTAATATTTCATCATTATTGATAATTCTCTACGACTCTCAATTCACATGTCCTTTTCTCCATCATGCATATTTGAAAAACTCCAGGCCCTGTATAAACCCAAATATTTACAAAATACTTGCATTCTGTACTCCTGTACCCAAACAGCTGTCATTCTGGGGTGACACCTTGACTGTCATTCTGGGATATCCTTGTACCTTTTTCTCATGTTTGGTCTCCAGTCATGTGAATTCTGTGTCTTCATCTTCTTAGTTTACTTCCTCATTTTGAAGGAGTACATCATGCAGTAACTTTGAGGAGGAAGGGTTCAGGCTGCATGCATTTAAACAAATTTAATATCTGAAAATACCTTTATTCTACCCATACAATTAATAGGTTTCCTGAGTATAGATTTCTTGGTTGAAAATCATTTTTTTAGCTACATTATGAAGATGTTGCTCCATTTTCTTCTAAATTCCAATATTGAAAAGCCCAGTGCATTTTTGACTCTCAATGCTTAAATAATGATCTAATTTTTTTCTTTCTGAAAATATGTAGATTTCCAGCTATTCCTAACATTCTGAAACTTCCCAGTGAGTGTTATATTACTATACATTTTCCTGTGCTCTTTAAATACTCGTGTCTTTCAAATCTGAGAAATGTTCCAATTATTTCTTAATTTTATGTCTATTCTATTCTTAGTTTCTTTCTGGAAATCTTAAGTACATCAGACCCCTAATATATTGATCTTCTAATATTGGTAAGGGTACTTTTCTTATCTATATGCCATGTCTTTGCCTCTCCTATATCTAGGAGATATTCTTGATATATTCTTCTAAGCCTTCAATTGAGTTTTTGAATTTTATAATTTCCAAGAGCACACTCTTATTTCCTGAATGCTTCTGTAATAATTTTAGTATTTTATGAATGCAACTTTTCTTTTACCTAAGGATATTAATTATATTTTTTATTTAGAAGTTTCCATCTACCTTTGATGAATGGATAAAGAAGAATGGATACGTATACACAATGGAATATTATTCAGCCATAAGAAGAAAACAAGTCCTACCATTCGCAACAACATGGATGGAGCTAGAGGGTATTATGCTCAATGAAATAAGCCAGGCAGAGAAAGACAAGTATCAAATGATTTCACTCATCTGTGGAGTATAAGAACAAAGAAAAAACTGAAGGAACAAAACAGCAGCAGACACATAGAACCCAGAATGGACTAACAGTTACCAAAGAGACAGGGATGGGGGAGGATGGGTGGGAAGGAAGGGATAAGGGGGGGAGGGGAAAGAAAGGGGGCATTATGATTAGCATGCATAATGAGGGGGGTACGGGGAGGGCTGTGCAACACAGAGAAGACAAGTAGTGATTCTATAGCATCTTACTACACTGATGGACAGAGAATGTAATGGGGTATGTGGGGGGGACTTGGTAATGGGGGGAGTCTAGTAAACATAATGTTCCTCATGTAATTGTAGATTAATGATACAAAAAAAAGTTTTTATCTACTTTTATCTAGACTGTTTCCTCCAAGCTGTCTTTTTTTTCCTTTATTTGTTTCATTCCCTGCATTTGATCATAGTTACTTAACCTCAAATGTCTGGTGATTCTTGTCCATTTATCTTTAACAAAGGAGCATCAAATGCTTATTGGAAAGGTCTCTATGTGCTTTGTGAAGGAATGGTCTAATTGGGGTCATTGTACTGGGAAACAAAATAACTGGTTAGATCCACAGAGAAGAATCCTCCAATCACTTTTCTGAACAGTGTAAACCTGAGAAGAAAGAAAAGAGGGCTGGGGTGTACTTTCTTTAAAAGACTCCTGTCCTCAGCTGTGCTTGGTGTTGCCTGTTCTTGAGACCCTCCGTTTTCCCCTCTCCGGTGAGTGAGTCTCTAGGCTTCTGCTGGGGTGTGGGAGAGGATCGAGGGGTCTACTAATCGATAAATAAAATTGTAGCTGGCTCATCTCCCAACTCCATTTTCTTTCATTTCCAGAGGCATCTGGTACCACCAGTTCTTGATCCTTTCGGAGGCCTTACAGTGCAAAGTGGACTGATGCTGCCCTGCATCCTCTGCTGCTCTATTGGATTCAGCTCTCTCCATTCTTTTGGTACCTCTCTACTGATGGATTTGCTTTCCAAACTCCAAGATTATGTCAAGAATAGTCTCCTACTATTTTTACTTCTCCCTATGGATTTATGAATATTGTCTATATCTTTATTGCCATTTTCATAGCATTTTAGAAGGAACCAGGAGAGAATGAGGGTTAAATTTGGTAGAATTCTTAATGCAAAACCTCTATTCATTCTTAAATGAGCCCCCGTCTATCTTCTGTCACTGACAACTTCCAAGTTGCCAAATCCAGTATCCCCTTTTCTGTCCTCAAATATCTAAGCTCTGCAGCATCTGAAATGATTGACTTCAACCTCATTTTTGAACTTTTGCAAACTCTCTCCTCTCTGGGCTTTGATGCACCACAAGCTTCTATTTCCTGTCCTAATAGCCTTTTCCAAACCATCATATCTCACAGGGACTAACATAATCTCTTAACTAGTTTCTCTGCTTTTTTGTCATTCCTCTAGCTGATTATTTTCACAGCAACTAAAGATTGTTTTTAAATAGGAACACATTGCTCCCTTGCCCTTGTAGTTTTCTAAGGGCTTCCAGTTGCTCTTAGAACAAAGTCTGTGCTCCTGGCCATAGCTTAGGAGACCCTGGGTGACTCACCCTTGCCTATTTCTCCTGCCTCATCTATGACCACTTTTTCTCTGG